AAATATTAACGAATATAGTCAATATATTCCATTACCATGTCATTTGATGTTAAAAGCATGGTTTTGTGAGTAATTAGGTAGAAACACACAAGGCTCTTTTGATTGAATATTGTAGTACATTATTTTGTGCTACAAAAACGTACACACACGAGTTTTTTAATTTTCTTACGATAGAACATTGTATATCATTGTTTGTCCTACAAATTATATTCTAACTGCCTATAGTGCAGTTTTTTTCCTTTTGAATACACTTACCTAAGAAAAAAAAGAGTTCCTGTCATGAAAGATGTAGACCAAAACCAAGGTTTCAATACAACTTCGATAAGAGACAAGTGAAGGCACTTTGTTACATTAAGTCACTATCAAATCAGAATATTAAAAGATTTTTTGAAATCACCTTTTCAAAATATGTCAAATAAAATAAGGATATTAAAATAGTTGTTTGAATGCACTCTTTAAATACATAAACTATTTTTTTTGCTTTTTATACTTCTCCTGTGTTAGAGTTTCTACGGATACACTTTCTAATTTTTTCCATGCACACGTTTACATGTAACAGGTGCATGTTCTATATAAATATTATTGTTAGTTTCATTATTTTTCATTTTAATTTTACTACATCTTGCAAAGTTGATTTATTATCTAGGATATTGTATGCAGTGTGAGGTTTCTCCCGTAAAATACATGCAGCAATTTATTTAGATCAAACTGTTTAACATTGTAAATATAATACCTGCAAACTATTGTTAATAACGACAGTATGACCTCTGAGCTATTTCATGAAAGACAAAGGACTGAAACCTGAAAATGCTCATTCAGTCAAATCTAAAGGGATGGACAAATATGAGACCTATTATATGTTCACAAACTTATTCAATGGTTTGATCTAGTTTTTTTATTACATCTTATCCACTTCCGATATAAATTTCAGATGAACATTCTAGTAAGGTTTCATAAGTATAAAGAAAATGTGGGCTCCAGTGTATAAACTTTTCCACCGATTTGACTCACTTTTTGACATCTAATGGCCCATTTCAAACTCAACCTAGTGTCGACATGCTGATAAAATTATATTATGATAAGACAATAAAATTGTCCGTTTATCTGACCTAGAAACCTTTTCAAATTTGATGAACACTGCAATGAAAGTCAAATAAATTCATTTTACAAGGTAAAGTTGAAATCTATAAGGCCAAGTTAGATAAGGCCTTTTCATTTAAATGATAATTTTAACTGTGAGCAACCTTATACAGTCTACGGCTAGACTTAATAGAACTTCAGCCTGACACTACAGTTCAGATCTACAAATTTCTTGAATGTGCAGCTTTAACTAGGTGCTAATTTTAAAGGGAGACACAGGCAAAATTTTCATTTCTTAGTTTTGAATTTTTCGTTCTTAATTCTGTAAATGCCGTCAAAATAAATATATTAGACAGTCAAAGGAACAAAACTTTTCTCCATATAAATAATAAAATATTGGTTTCCTAACCTGACCCGCGTGGGTCAGGTTAGAGCGCTAGGATTTCACAATAGTTGTGACAGTGAACTCTGGAAACCTTAAAGAACATTTCAAATGAATGATTTAGGTTTGTTTCAATCATACAATATCCACAGTATCTGTTAATGTAACTTCAACGATTTGTTCAAGTCATCTGACTTGTTTTAACATTATTTGGTGATTCTATTGGCGTCTAAATTGTGTTCAACATATATAGATATATTTATGCTTCAAATCCAAAATATATAGAATTAAAACAGAAATTCATGCTGAAACTTTTAGAAATGTCATTTTAGCTGAGTACAAAAGATAATTTTAATATTTTTGTCATTATTTTGCCTGAATATCCCTTTAATCAAAATGAATAGAACGTAACATTCATGTATGATATTAATTTGAATTTTCTCATACAGCAATAATAGACAATTATTGCGTCAGTTTCACGCTAACTCAAAATCTCTAGGACTCTGCTTACAACCATTCCTGTGTACTCAATATATATCATAGTGAGGTGATTTTATTTTCTTTCTCATCTTAAATAATTTTCGGTGAATATTTAAAAAAAAATAAGTTCGACTCCCAGAACCTTTTACGATAAGATTATTTTTTAATATAATATACTTTAGAGAAAAAGATCATGGAGGTAATACACCTTGAACCACCCCAATATTTCAGAATCAGTGTTATCGTGAACGATCGTTTACAAATTTAAATAGTTGTTCTAGCAAATCCCCAACACTATGATCACACCAGCAGCACAAGACTCTTTTATACAGATACCGAGAGGGTTCAGTGGTTGATACATTTCTCATTATGTAGATTGAATTACTTACACAAACAAAATGAAACATTTTTGTTTACGACACATGCCGTTTTAGCGAGACAAGTTGTAAAGTTTTGCATTCTCTTAAAACTGAAAAATAGATATACACAATTTTAAAGTAGCTTTTTTTTAGTTTTTAAGTACACATTTAACATAATTATCACACCGATAGCGAACAGAAAAATACACATGTTCATGCGTGCGTCTATGCGCACATACCCAGTAAACATTAGGGGATTATGATTTTTGTATAACTTACATTATGAGGTTCATTCGTTTTACGCCTTTTCCCAACATTATTTCAGTCATATAGGCGGGTAGTTTCCTGAGAGTAACACCAGTTCTAGACCTTCCTCCGTGCTAAACTACCAAAGCATCTCCCGGGGATCGAAACAACGCCAGAGAAAAAATCATTCTAGGGTTAGAATGTCATAATGGCGTTTATAAAATCAAAAGAAGTTCAAAGGAATAACCCCACCATGTAGGTCTGATAAGAACGTCCTTGCATGTGTGTTATCCTTCTAGAAACCGTGCGTTTTGTAAGTTTAAAAAACAACACAGTTAAATAGTGGAACTATCCATTGAAAATTTATAATTAACAATCGTGTCCCTTTTGCAAGTACACTGTATTTGAACAGTGGTTTATTCTGTATTTATCTATTTTAAATAATTGATCACAACAATAAGACCTTCATTCAAAACAATTCACCAGTTGTACAAAAAGTCTGTTGCTAAAAGAAACAGTTTTATGTATTAGTTAACATTATGAGGTTCATTCGTTTTACGCCTTTTCCCAACAGTACAATAACGATAATTCAAATGAAATCCATCGTAAGTTTCATATAAAGTGAATATGCACTTTAGCTTTTAAAAAATCTCTAGTCATATTGGTTTTGTGTCCACTAAAGACGCTGCTGCAACTGCAGGAACAAATATAACAAATGTAAGCAATAGGAACACGACAGTGACTTGACCTAAGCAATAGGTTATGAGCTGTCATTGTTGCATATAAAATACTGACTGGGATTATATAAAATAATGATAGGTGGTGAATATATATAGCATGACCGCGGGTAATAAGATGGTGTCGGTATTTTATGGGAGTTGGGATTATGGTTGAGTCGTACCGGGCATATACGGCAGTTTAAATACAATATTTTCTTTTCTCAGGCCTCCTTCCCCCGAGTGGTTAAGGTCCATAGTGACAAAAACTAACCCTTCCACGCTGTATTCACTGTCCACGATCATAGTATTTATTAACAATCAGCCCCTTATCCGAAAGTTAGGAAGAAACGAAGAGAATCTAACTAATAATATCACGAAAATAATTGAAAACTGTTTTGCATATTAAGTTATTAACTTTTGCATTATAATTTATATTCATAATTATCTTATTTATCTAATTTTCTGAGTGTTTACTTTTCCAAATAAGGTTTATCATTGAAATCCAATATACACATGAACATGAAGGACATGTGTAAGATTTATTTTTACAGTAGATGAAGCATTTATTCTCCACATACACATGTTATCATCTGTGTGTTTCGAAAAAGATGTTTCTTGTATCTACCTGACTGAAAATCAACTAAATGATATATATAGTCTTTGGGCCACTATATTATTATTAAACGAGACATCTTACACCCACCTATCATTAGTTTCGTTTTGTCCTACATAACACGCAAAAAGGCGGGGAAGTGTGTTGACTACACACAGCATATGTAGCATAGCTACACACTTTTGCTGCTACAAGCGAGATTGTGTGTAAGGTTAAAATCGATACATATTACAGGTGAACATCCCCCGTCCAACAGAAAAACAACAAAAAAAAAAACAAACAAAAATAACAAACAAAACAAACAGCAACAACAACAAAAAAAACACGCTACAACAGAGGTTTACATACTGTTTTCTATATCCTGAATTCCTAGATTCTGATTATACAACTATAATTTATTACCTCAAGGAAACATTCATTCAATAAACTGTTTACCGAATTTGACATATTAACAGGGAAATTTACATTATGTGTACTTTAATGTTTAAGCGAAAAGACCTTAAAAGAAAACAATAACAACAACTGTTAAGTAAAAGCTTTAGATGTTTGAGTCAAAGTTGAGACTCTGATCAGTAACAAGTCTTTAAGAGAACTTCTTATAAACTAACGTTTGTTACATAACTTTGCATATGACGAAAAAACTGGCTCAGTGGGTGTGTTCTGCTACGTTATTTTTAAACCAAATGAGATTGAAAGTTACCAACAATCAAACAAGCAGCAATATATAAAATATTTAACTTTCAAATGGTGTATACAATAAAAGGATCAAATCTACATCCATTCACTTTTAATTGCTATTAAATGCCTATTTTTTTCACTTTTTGATTAGTAGGAGTATACATGCTTTGCTTATCTCCATTATGTACATCTCTGCTTTAAGTTTATAAGAACAAATAGCTAGTGCGCATGTGAAATAAGGATTTCTTCTGGCATTTTTTGTACATGAAAATCTCCGATAATATTGTAATTGATATATATTAAGGCAGGGTTAAATATTTTTTCAGAACACGTCGGACATTCTAGCGTAGTTATGACCTCCCCGTTTGTCCCTTTAATGAATGCACGGATTACTTAAGTGGTGTGTACTATTTCTTTCATAATAAATGCAGAACGTAACAATATCAAAGTAGAATTGTTTTAATGTATTTTCAGGTTTCTATACATCTCAAATATCTATTTAACAGAAGCCAGTGTGTTTGATTGTCAGGTCATGTTGTTTGCATACTTCAATGTGAAACTCGCATCTAAAATTAAATTCAGAAAGTCATTAAAGCATAAATAAAATATATGAACAACGAGATCAACATGGAAGGGCGGCGTTCAATGAACGAAACCCCCACACGACCAAGCTTCAAAGGACCACGAGTCGTTGACAACTTAAATCAAATATCTCAAAAGCATAAACCCTCTTACCAATAATGTTAAATATTATCTACCTAACGTCAAAACGGTGTATTTCGTATTTATTTACTTGATTTTCATTAACTTTTTTGACATGACAGAAAAAAAAACTTTATCAAAATGCAAAAGGTTTCAGTCACTTATTGTAGATGATTAAGTAAGTTTATTTACATACGCATTGATATATGTCCTCCCATTTGAACCACAAATAGGTTCTATATCGTTAACACAATGGACTCCTGTCATCGTGTCACAAATCACGCTTAAGGGATCACTAGTAGGCTTTGCTGGTGTAGTTGATGTTGTAGTTGGGCGTGTTGTAGATGAACGTACAGTTGTAGTAGGGCGTGTTGTAGATGGACGTACAGTTGTAGTAGGGCGTGTTGTAAGTGGAAGGAAAGATGTTGTAGGACGCGTAGTGCTCGTTGTGTATCTAGATGTTGTTGCCGTTTTTGTCACAGCCACTTCTGTGTGATTAGCATTAATTTTTTATTATTCTTTTACTCTACGTGATAGGTAAACATTTTGTTAATACTTTGACAAATTATAAACACTTGGTTTATAATACTTTAATCAATGATGTTATATTTTCGATCCTTGAAGATCGTTCAGCACGACAGTATTGTTGTGCTTGTGGTATTTTTAGTTTCAACTTTCTGGCATTTTCTAGTTGGGTGGTTCCAATATTCCTACTTGAATAATGTTGAATCACCCTTAGGATATGTTGCCTGCTTTTTAAATTTGTCTTTTGACGTCTTATCTGTGATACGCAGGCTTCATAACCTCTGATCCCCTTTCTAAATTCCATTTTATTTAGTTCCGCCCATTGTTTTCTCGTTTAGGGCACACGCTTTTTATTACTTGGGGACCATACGCCGCTTTTCATGGAATGGCACGGAAGTGTCACATTGAAGGTTCCATGATAACCGTCGTATGAACACATCTGCGGATGTTTCTAAATTCAAAATTCTACCATTTCATGTTTAAATGTTGAATTCTGCTTAAGCCGGTGCTAGGGGCGTGGACGGTAACTTGCACTTTCCAGTACCGTCCATGAACAGGCTCAATCAAACCGAGCCTGCAACATTTTCAATTTTGCCGTGTTGGGCTTTCTTTAGGGATTCTTTATTTATCTATATTATGATCACATCCGTGTTATTTGTGCCGTGTGGCGGCTGTAAAAAGTCGCCCCGTACATTTAATCAATGATGTTATATTTTCGATCCTTGAAGATCGTTCAGCACGACATTATTGTTGTGCTTGTGGTATTTTTAGTTTCAACTTTCTGGCATTTTCTAGTTGAGTGGTTCCAATATTCCTACTTGAATAATGTTGAATCACCCTTAGGATATGTTGCCTGCTTTTTAAATTTGTCTTTTGACGTCTTATCTGTGATACGCAGGCTTCATAACCTCTGATCCCCTTTCTAAATTCCATTTTATTTAGTTCCGCCCATTGTTTTCTCGTTTAGGGCACACGCTTTTTATTACTTGGGGACCATACGCCGCTTTTCATGGAATAGCACGGAAGTGTCACATTGAAGGTTCCATGATAACCGTCGTATGAACACATCTGCGGATGTTTCTAAATTCAAAATTCTATTTCATGTTTAAATGTTGAATTCTGCTTAAGCCGGTGCTAGGGGACGTGGACGGTAACTTGCACTTTCCAGTACCGTCCATGAACAGGCTCAATCAAACCGAGCCTGCAACATTTTCAATTTTGCCGTGTTGGGCTTTCTTTAGGGATTCTTTATTTATCTATATTATGATTTCAATTCATTTTATACGATATCTTAATATAAAACTAGATGCCAAAGGGCAACATGTCGAGCCCGCTGTCACATCTGACCATGAGGTATGACCTTGAACTTTGACCAAGTCAAACGGTTCTTGCACGTGACACGATCCAGTGGCAAGGAGCCCAGGAGGACCCCAAACAAAAACAGGACAGGGCACAAGTCAGAGCATGGGCAGGCTAATCACATAGATGATACATAAGAAGAAATAATTAGTAACCGATAAGGAATTCAAAGAAAAAACAAATAAATGATTAAATATTATGGCCTCCAAAGTCAAAGGGCACTGGGGAAGGGGACAGGAGACCCGGGGAAGGGGTGGGTGGGATAAATTAAACAAGCAAATTCGTTGAATTTATATCCTGCCGAGTACTGGCTATTACTAACACAACAAACTGAAGACATAAGGCTTTATTTATATATTATCTTATCATAAACAGTAATATACTTTGAACCTGATAAATACTTAGGGCAATAACGGAGCCATAACACTTGTGTACCCTTAGGATATGTTGCCTGCTTTTTAAATTTGTCTTTTGACGTCTTATCTGTGATACGCAGGCTTCATAACCTCTGATCCCCTTTAAAATTCCATTTTATTTAGTTCTGCCCATTGCTTTCTCGTTGAGGGCAAACACAATATTTTACTTTTGGACCATACGCCGCTTGTCATGGAATGGCAAGAAAATGTAACATTGAAGGTTTCATGATTACCGCCTTTGAACACATCTGCGGATGATTCTAAATTCAAAATTTTACTATTTCATGTTTAAATGTTGAATTCTGCTTAAGCCGGTGCTAGGGGGCGTGGACAGTAACTTGCACTTACCAGTACCGTCCATGAACAGGCCCAATCAAACCGAGCCTGCAACATTTTCAATTTTGCCGTGTTGGGCTTTCTATAAGGATTCTGTATTTATCTATTAAATAGAAATATCTGGACATGCCAATAAGATGTAAATTGCCTTTGTGTATCCATGGTTGCCATACAGTTTTGTTGAAATCAATACAGCAGTTGCAAAGAAATAGCGATATTGCTCTATATGCATACTAGTAACTTATCAAGGGCCATAACTCTGTAATGAAGGGTCTGGTCTAAACAACTTCACCAAGCAACAATATGCACATCTCTTGGTATTAATGGTTCCCATATTACGTTTAATTGAATTCCAGCCAGAAATTGCAGAGAAAAAAAAACAGAATCCCTAAAGAAAGCCCAACACGGCAAAATTGTAAAATGTTGCAGGCTCGGTTTGATTGAGCCTGTTATGGACGGTACTGGAAAGTACAAGCTACCGTCCACGCCCCCTAGCACCGGCTTACGCAGAATTCAACATTTAAACACAGAAATGGTGAAATTTTGAATTTAGAAACATCCGCAGATGTGTTCATACGGCGGTAATCATGGAACCTTCAATGTGACACAGTAGTGTCATTCCATGAAAAGCAGCGTATGGTCCCCAAGTAAAAGAATGTGTGTGCCCTAAAAGAGAAAACATTGTGCGGAACTAAATAAAATGGAATTTTGAAAAGGGATCTGAGGTTATGAAGCCTGCATATCATAGACAAGACGTCAAAAGACAAATTTAAAAAGCAGGCAGCAAATCCAAAAGGGTGATTAAACAGTATTCAAAAACTATGAAAAACAAGATCAACAAGGAAAGGCGGCGTTCAATGAACGCAACCCCCATATGACCCAGCAACAAGAACCAACGGCAAGGAGCCCAGGCGGACCCCAAACATAAAAAGGACAGGGCAACGGAATACTGAATAAGTAGGAATACTGGAACCAGTATTCAAGTAGGAATACTGGAACCACCCAAATTGAAAAAGGCCAATTATAAGAAACTAAAATACCATCTAAAATGTATACACAACAATAATGTCGTTCTGAACGATCTTCAAGGATCGAAAATATAACATCATTGATTAAATGTACGGGGAGACTTTTTACAGCCGCCACACGGCACAAATAACACGGATGTGACAATAAAAAAGAGAAAAACAGAATCCCTAAAAGTCGCGCGAAAACAATTATTGCTCTATATGCATACTGCATAACTAATCAAGGGCCAAAACTCAGAGTTAAAGTGTCTGACCAGAACAAGGCGGCTATATGCACATCTCTTGGTATTGAAGGTTCCCATAAAGGTTCGTTGAATTTCAGCTAGCAGTTACAGAGAAGTAGCACGGAAATGATTATTGATCTGGTTGCATACTGCATAACTTATCAAGGGCCATAACTCGAAGTTAAAGTGTCTGACCGGAACAAGCCGACGATATGCACATCTCCTCTTGGTATTGAAGGTTCCCATAAAATAAAATAGAGAAAAACAGAATCCCAAAGTCCAACACAACAAAATTGAAAATGTTGCAGGCTCGGTTTGATTGAAATAGATAAATACAGAATCCCTAAAGAAATTAGGATTACCATTTTCTCCGCAAGGGATTGAGTGCTAATTCAACATGATTTCTGAACCACCAATAACAGACTAATAAACAATATCTGAGATCAGTTGGGGTCTAAAGCTCAATGGTAAAGGTCACACTCTGACTTATCTCAAAAGAAATACAAATTTTTAATTAAAATGCACTGATGGTGATGTCTACAATTCTGACATTGCTAAAACGGATTTAGAATAACTTATGCATAAATGTATTTGACATAATGTCGTGACGCACGCAAGAATCATGTACCTACCTTAAAGGTCTCAAATGTAGATGTGACTTTTTATAAAATTACATTGATTTTAATTTGTTCCAGCAACAATTCTGCCATTCATGGATGAATTAAAAAAAATTGAGCATATATTTGTAAGACATAATAACGATGTCTCAAGTGCATGGGTCAGGTCTCTACCTTCCAAGCCAAGGTCACGATTGTATTCCAAAGTCATGATATGATGTACAGACTCAATCAAACAGAGTCTGCAATTTTTATGTAATTTGCTCTTTTAATGCTTCCGAGAGATCATATTTTCCAGATGTTTTCATAAAAATGCATTGATGGCTGTGTCTAATGAATAATTTGATAATTCTTGGATGAATCACAAGTCAAAGTCAAACCTGTATCTCAAATGTAACAAGAATTTGTAACAGAGTTACCAACGTCCCCTGCCTCGGGGAAGTTTTATATGAAGCAAAAAATTGTGCTATTTCAAAAGATTGAGGCAGGGATCTAAGGATTTTCAGTCCAAAATTATGATCAATGCTAGATCTGCAAATGCAACAATAAATTTGTTAAAGAAATAAAATGAAGCACTGAATTTAAAAATCTATCATGTTAAGCTTTGACCTCTAAGTGTGACCTTGACCTTGGAGGTAGGGGTGCAGGTGTTGTGCATGACATATCATCTTATTATTGTGACTATTTGTGCCAAGTTATTTCAAAATCTCTTGAACTATAAAGAAGTTCTACATTGGACACAATATATTCCCTTTAAAAGACTATGTTAATTTTTGACCTCGAAATGTGACCTTGACCTTGGAGGTAGGGATGCAGGTGTTGCGCATGACACATTGTCTTATTATAGTGAATATTTGTGCCAAGTATTTAAAAAAATCCTTTGATATATGAAAAAGTTATGGACCGGACAAAAAAAATACCCTATAACAGACTATGTTAATCTTAGACCTCCAAGTGTGACCTTGACCTTGTAGGTTGGTGACCGATTGTTGCGAATGACACATCATCTAATTGTTGTGAACAATTGTGGCAAGTATTTACAAAATCCCTTCAAAGATAAGAAAGTTATAGACCGGACACGAGATATACCCTCAAATAGACAATGTTGACCTTGAATGAGCAAGTGCTACCTTGACCCTGGAGGTAGGGGTCTGGTTGTTGCGCATGACACATCGTCTTATTATAACAAACATTTGTGCCTAGTAATTTCAAATTCCTTCAATAAATGACAAAGTTATGGACCGGACACGAAATATACCCTGTAACAGGCTATGTTAATCTTTGACCTCTAAGTGTGACCTTGACCTTGGAGGTAGGTGACCGGTTAGCGCGCATGACACATCTCATTATTGTGAGCAATTGTGGCAAGTATTAACAAAATCCCTTCAAAGATAAGAAAGTTATAGACCGGGCACGAGATATACCCTCAAATAGACAATGTTGACCTTGAATGAGCAAGTGCGACCTTGAACCTGGAGGTAGGGGTCTGGTTGTTGCGCATGACACATCGTCTAATTATAACAAACATTTGTGCTAAGTTATTTCAGATTCCTTCCACAAATGACAAAGTTATGGACCGGACACGAAAGTGTGACGGACGGACAGACGGACGGACAGACGGGAGTTCTAACAGGAGAGTAATTATGTGGCTACTCTATTGTTCTCTCTATTCTTTTTAGCCACACAAAAGAAAATAGCCACATAAAAGCATTACGGAATGAATGACATCAAAGAGAAAGAACAGTTACCTATTGTCCCTCTAGCCACATAATTACTGTCCTGTGAGTGCGGACGGACGGAAAGACGGACAGACGGACGGAGCCTATTACTATATCCCCCTTTTTTCTTCGAGTAAAATTTAGCTTAGCAGCCAAACGATCAAGTTTATCATTGAATGTCAAAAATCATATGTTATTGAATTGAAAATATCACCCAGTCCATGTCTTTTTGCCATTCAGTGGCAGATTTCGTAATAATTTGGATTAAATATATGGTTCTGTAAACAATTTGTTATGAGTTAGCAGCTTAAATCAAGGCCACGCTAGGACTTCTTAGGTTTATAGTACATCGATTGTTATTTCCAGACATTATTTGTGTCATGCATGAATGTATTTCGAAATGTCTAGGGATATTTCTCTGGCACATTAAGAAAACTTATCACACCCAAATGTCAGGTCAACGGTTAAGTTTAAAAGGTGAAGGTATACTTTAATATCAAAATAGTTAATTGATGTTTTTTAGTCCCCTACCGGTTTACCGGAGGGGACTTTAGGTTTACCCTCTGTCCGTCTGTCCGTCCGTCCGTCTGTCCGTCCGTCAGTCCGTCCGTCCACAAAACTGGATCCCGCGATAATGCAAAAAGTACTGAAAATATTTTTATGAAACTTGATATATGGATAGATGGCAGTATGGAGATTATGCACGTCTTTTTCTTTTCTTCCTATGTTGAAAATTCTGGTTGCTATGGCAACAAATAGACTGAAAATATGGCAAATTTTACACATAACCTGGATCCCGCGATAACGCAAAAAGTACTAAAAATATTTTTATGAAACTTGATATATGGATAGATGACAGTATGCAGATTATGCACGTCTTTTTATTTTCTTCCTATGTTGAAAATTCTGGTTGCTATGGCAACAAATAGACTGAAAATATGGCAAAATTTACACATAACCTGGATCCAGTGATAACACAAAAAGTACTGAAAATATGTTTATGAAACTTGACATATTGGTAGATGGCAGTATGGAAATTATGCACATTCTTTTTTATCTTCCTATATTGAAAATTCTGGTTGCTATGGCAACAAATAGACTGAATTTCAAGATTTCTGATTCTAGTTTTAAAGTTTTTTCACTATAAGTTCTTTATTTCTTAAGGTATTTTCTTCAAACTTTAAATATAAGTTGCTTGTCATCAACCACATCATATGTGACAAGGTTTACAACTCTAGCACAAAAATTATCAGAATTACCTCCCTTGAACTTAAAATTTTCATTAAAAAAACATTGTTTTTTTTTAATAACTTCTTTTTCTGAATGTATCTACTTCAAACTTCATATAATTGTTTCTTATTGTCACTCAACATTTGTGAGTGTTCAATACTCTAGCAAGACTATTAGGGAGAATTATGCCCCTTTTGAACTTAGACTTTTTTTTGAGAAATTGGTAATTTTTACTCCAACTTCTTCAGTCATGATAGGATTTTAAAAATGTTATATTTTGATAACAGGGATGTTTAAAAAATAACTTTAGAGTGTCCTTCAGTCCGTCTGTCTGTACATAAAAACTGTTTCCTGTGATCACTTTTAAAGAACTTTTTCAACAAATTTACTTAAAATAGGAACCTAAGTGAATGGCCAATGGCCCTTCAGAATGTTGCTTGGGCTCTTACCGGTAGGGGACTTATGGATTGCTTGCAATACTATGATAATTGCTTGTTTTCCTAGTCATATCTTTGTCAGTTATCCATGGATGCTTTGTGAAATTATTATGCTAACTGAAAATATGAGAAAGTGTTTATAAATGTTCTATATTATTGTAACACTCTTTTTAAAGTACCCATGTCTTTGATGCAAGTCAAGGGTCAGGGTTCCTTTACTGGGCCCTGCTTGGGGGCATTTGGCCATTTCTAACGACAGTTTTTTGTTGGAAGATTGTGCATAAATATAACCCTATAAGATAAAAGTACCCTATTTTTGGTTAAATTTTCAGTCACACCGAATCTGTAGCTTTCTACCTTTTCTGGTGGAGGAAGACTTCAGGTGCTCTTTATTTTTATAAAGACACAGCAGAGGTCATTTGTCAATTTTCCAGCTTTATTGGTGGAACACTCAGACACGAGTGGGGTACCTAAGCAGAACCACCGACGTCCGTTATCTGTCTGAAAGAATGTCTCTGGTGGAATTCGGTCTCAAAGCGAAACTACATTTGCAAGCCGATACGAGAAAATTCACAAAAATTTATACAATCTTGAAAAAAAAAAAATAACAAAAGAAAAAAACAACAAAAAAACAAAATACAGAAAAAAAACAACCAGAACTGAATTTATAATTCTGACAACAGCCTATCGGTTTGAAAACTTTATACAGATAACTTACTAACTTACCAGAATTTTTACAAGGTCCATCATCTCTCGTACGCAATATTTTGTCGAGACATTGTGCTTTTGCTAGTAAGCATCTATTAAGAAAATATATTTATTAAGCAAAACAATAAAAAGAACTGATTTTGTATAAAGTAAACACTACCATTCTTGAACAGCTTTGATATAACCATGTTAACAACATTTTAAATTTTATGCCGTTCTTTGCGTTTTTCAAAATTTCAATTTAACCCTTTTTTAGTTATTGCGTCCTTTGAACGTTGTTCTTTGTTCTTGTTTTATTTATTAAATCTAAGTAGTACGTGTGCAATATGATGTATAAAGCAAAAACAACGACTACAAGTTGGTAAAGTGACGAGTATGCTGTTGCCATTTTCATGCAATTTATTCTCATTGTTTATGAATATCTAGAGGTTTCGTTTTGTTTTTTCAAATTATTAAGTTAAATAAGTTAAGTATGAAAATTTATTTTAGACATGTTTTTCAAATAATGTTTGAATTTTACAATATTTATTTTCATACCGGTTAGCATAGGTGATGCCATCGGTGCCACACACCACACTGGGAGTAAATCCATCACAATCCAATTGATTGACCCAATTACAATTAAGAAACTGAGAAGACGAACCTACGGTAAATTTAAAAATCTCTAGATATATTAATATGCCAACAGATTTTCTAAATTTTCTAAAAGAAACAATCCCTTGTGGATAGTAATTTTAAAATGTTCACCTAATTCATACATTTAAATATCGGCTGTTCCTTGCGAAAGATCGGTGGGGACATTTCAAATTCGCGAATTCTCGATTTCATGTTCGTGAAATCATAATTTTAAATTCGTGAATTCTTGTTTTCAACGATTTCAGCTTCATGAATTCACGATTTCATCTTTGTCAATTCACATCAATTCTAACCCCGTTAATTCATGTTTTCAACGATTTCAGTTACATGAGTTTTCGATTTCAACTTTATGGATAATTCACGATTTCAACATCACGAAATCAAATTCGTGAATCTACGATTTTAATTTACGAATACACGAATTCAACTTCATGAATTTGCGATTTCAACGTCATAAATTTGTGATTTGAACTTCACGAATTCAACTTTGTAAAATCACGATTACAACTAAACGACTTCACTATTTCAACTTCATGAACAAACGATTTCAACTTACGTTTATTCACCCTTTCAACTTTTAAGTTAACGTAATCACGATTACAACTTCACGAAATCACGATTTCAACTAGTAATCATGAATACGTGAAATTGATATCGTTAGTTCGTGAAGATGAAATCCGTGAATTCATGAAGTTAAAATCGTGAATTCACGAAAATGAAATTGTGAATGTACGACGATGAATTGTGAGTTCCTGAGCATTCCTTCCAGTTTTTAATCGGGAATTCATGACGTTTAAATGTCCCACCGGTCTTTCGTAGTTTCTGTCGTCATTCAGGTCACTTTAACCTTTAAATATGAAAGGAAAGGCGGCGTTCAATGAACGCTAAACCATTATATTAGGTTTTTTTACGCCTATAACAATATTGAAATTATATCTTTATGATTTTCACAATTCGTAATCCAGCCATGTTTCACGGAATATTATAAATAATGAAAAAATGAAATTATATAGAACATCTTCAAATTTCGCTCCAAAGATATTAAAAGAATTATCTGGCGACTGCCTTTTTCTCTTACATCTATATGCATGAGAAGCAGAGTGATTTTAATTTTGATAAAAAAAAACTATGAATTCTTCGTTTTTTAGGCTCGAGCGAGTTTTTGAGTAGTACAGAATTGTTTTACAAAAATTGTGTAAGAATATAAAATGATTAAAGTTATTGTTAATCCCCCTTTACACTGTCCCGGTAATAACCCGGTTAATCCACATTTACACTGTCCCGGTAATAACCAACGGTATCGCTACGGTGTCTTAAACCGGTGAACCGGGGTTTTCCGTGGTGTTTTTATGAAAAATCAAATTGCGTTTACACATCCCCGACAGAGCCCAGGTGTATTTCCGGTTCAGTACCCAATATAGCGCCGGATATATACGGTAAGTGCCAATGCTAACCCGGTGTATTCCCGGTAGAGACACGGTTTTATCACGGTCCATCCCGACTATCGCCGATTTTGTCACGGTAAAGCTACGGGTGATGCTGGTACTATCCCGGTTACGCCTGGGTAATGCGCCAATGCTTTCCCGGTTCAAGTTTATGAGAATAAAACTGCTTGGCCACAGAAGAAATTGCAGAAAATGGCCCTTCTTCATCTTCACTTAACAAAATTATTCAATATCTGGGACAATAGAGGGTCCAACCGGAGCGTTGTCCCAAAGAAAACAATACAATACAATAACCGCGATGTACCCTGGCTCTACCGTAGCTCTGCTTGTTTTTATCGTGGCGACATCGTGTCATCACCGGAGCTTTGCCGTGTTTTGACTTTGATTATTACGTTTCCCGGTTTACTACGGTTTGTCACGGTATTGGTGCGGTGGTTCCCCGGCAATTCCCGGTGCCAAGCCGATAGAACACGGTTCTGGGCTTCCTTCCCGGTGAGTGCCGTTGAGCCCCTGTTGTATAAAACATTTTAATACAACCGTGGCGATCTCCCGGTTTGTCCCGGTTCACCAAGGTTTGTCCCGGTACTTCACGGAATCACTCCGGCTCTACGCCGGTTAACCACGGTTGATCCCGGTGGACTAAACCGTGGCAAACCCGTCCCGCCAAACCGGAGCAGTGTAAATGGGGCTTTAGCAATCAATAGCAATCAATACTGTATGTGTGAATTAAGATTATCTCCAAACCCCATCATTAACAAAATAAATAAATAAAAAAAATAAAAGAAAAAGTAGTAATAAAAAGAAATTGAAAATAAAATAAAATAAAAATGCTCAGTTTTTTATAGTTTACATGTATTCTATAACATACTAATAAATCTACTTACCTGATATTTCTAAAATAAGCAACAACAACAGTGTCTTCGGTAGGTTCACAATCGTAGACATTGTGATTTAACATAAACACATGTATAACGCATTATTATAATTCTATAATACATGTAGTAAAGATAACATTTATAAATGGTGTCGTCTTATCAGTCAGATAAATCTTTTAATGACTACAATAAAGTCTGAAATTTTCCGCAGCGATTGGACTTATTAATACGGTTTCGTGTTAGGGCCATTTGCGACACATATACACGCACGCACGCATGCACACGCACGCACGCACGCATACACATACACACACACACACGCACACGCACACACAAACACACACACGCACACAGAGCTCGAAACAACAAAAGTAAGAAGTAGAAAATACGAAAACTCGATAAAATTTCGTGTTTTTACCATTGTGGTTTTGTTTCGTTATTACGACTTTTCACCATCGTACTTTCGACTTTTCATCATCGAATCTTTGACTTTTCAACAACGTGGTTTCGTTATTGCGACTTTTTCCATCGTATTATCGTTATTTCGAGTTTTGTGTGTGTGTAGCGATTGCCCTAACTAGACACTTAAAATAATAGTGAATATGCCACTGAAGGGGTGTACTCTCAGGTGGTATACACCGTTAGTATTTTAAACATTCACGAGAATTATTTGTAGAGCTAAATTAATATGAACTAGATTACTGACCTACACCAGCCCCAATCCCAAGCTTGTGTAACATAATGACATAGATTTTAATAAAGTCGTTTTTATTTGTTTGTTACGTGAAGAGTGTTTTTTAAAGTTGTGTCAAGTTATTGTTTATACACAAGATATAACAGATAACTTTTAAATCTGTTTGGAATGCTGTTCTTTAAAACATTTAATACTTTTCAAATGGTTTTGGTCAAATGTTTTACAAAAGCACTCCTGAGAGAATAATTTTTTTTTCAGCAGAGGAACGCTGATTTGAGGAAACGCATTTAAAACCGTCAGCATTTTAAGACCGTTGTTTCAACTTCTATTTTAACCGTTGTTGTCAGACAAATCTTACAAATATGAATGTTAAAAGTACATTCAAGTCAACAGTTTAAGATGGATGTAATCCATGTAAGTGACGTGTTTCAACAAAATGGTATACCAATAATTTGATAAAATAAAATTATGGTCAGCAAAATTAAAATAATTTCATGTGAAGACATTTTATCGGCATAAGTATGTTACAAAACAAGGATTTTTATCTTTTCACTGCTATCGGAACACATCGTGTATTTTCTCAAACACAGCATAATAATAGAAAAGAACTGTAATCGTAAAGGGGGCACTAACAGTTGCTTAATGGTGTATTTTATACCCAAAGATTAAGTTACTAAGATTATATGTTTCAATGTTTTCAATTCAATCAATACTTAGATTGAAGTTATGTGTTGTAAATAATTTTTTAAAGATGTAATTTAAAAGAAAATAGCTAGGATGTAAAAATCTTCAATGATAAAATTTGTATTTTACACTTTTTGATGTTATTGGTAGTAATTAAGTTATATATTATTACTACATATTTAACTGAGTAAATGAACTAGATATCACTACGATAAGTGAACTGAATCCTATTGAATTGCTATTGAAATTCTGTTTATTCCCTAGGATAAACTAAGATAAATTGGTAAAAAAATTTACGGTGTCGATACCTAATGAAAATCCTTTGGGATTTTACTCATTTTAAAGTCATCTGGTTTAAGCTACATTTATTATTGAAAACTTTTGAATTTATAACATCATTTCATATTAAATGAGTTTTTTTCCATAATTTGAATTCAAATCTTAAATACCTTTGTCTGTTTAAGCACAACGATTCAAGTAACAGTTGAAGATACACGTTTTTCTACTAGATACCTAAATGTATCTAAATGTTTTATTAGAATATTGTAATAGATGGAAATTAACAGTAAATACGAGAAAAACTAAAGTCATTGTGTTCAGAAAAGCAGGTAGATTACCTCAGAATTTACGTTTCTTGTATAATGATCAGGAATTAGAAATTGTATCTCGTTTTAAATATTTAGGTGTTTTATTTACGTCAGGTGGTTCATATATTCAACATGATAAGTTGTTAGCTGGACAGGCTTTAAAAGCTATTTTCAAAATGAATAAATATTTATATAAATTTACAGATTTATTACCCAAACATACACTTGATTTATTTGATAAGTTAATTATGCCAATTTTAATGTATTCCTCAGAGGTATGGGGTTTTTATAAAGCCCCACATGTAGAAAGAACATATTTAAGTTTTTGTAAAAGACTGTTAAGTGTTAAAGCATCTACCCAAAATGATTTTATATATGGCGAGCTTGGTAGACAAAGTTTGATATCATATAGAATGTTTAGTGTTATAAAATATTGGTTAAAAATATGTACATGTCCAGAATCAAAGTATATTAGAAATATTTATTTGATGTTAAAGAATGACGCAGGTAACGAACCAAATGTAACTAACTGGGTGACTAATGTTAAAAGCTTACTAATAAAACTAGGGTTTGAACATGTATGGTTAAACATAAAGAACTATTTTTATTGATATTAAAACAAAGGATAAAAGAAATATGGCTGATTGATTATAATAATAGATTAGAAGACTCGACAAGAGCACTGTTTTTTAGAACAATAGTTAGTTTTAATTTTAGTAAATATCTAGATGTTATAAATATCCGTAAGTACAGAATAGCTTTAGCACGTTTACGCATGTCATCTCATAGATTAGCTGTAGAATCTGGAAGATGGAGAAAACCAGAATGTGTTCCTTTTAATGAACGAATATGTCATATATGTAATACATTGGAAGATGAATACCATTTTGTACTTGTATGTAATATGTTTAAAGAACTTCGTACAAAATATATCAAGAGATACTATTGGAATCACCCTAGTAATTTTAAATTTATTTCTCTTATGAATACAGAAAATGTAACAGATATTCGTAATTTAAGTATTTACACGTATCATGCTTTTATTAAACGTCAGCAACAGATCGATTCACTGTAGATTTGCCAATTTTACATGTAGATATATCTATAGCATAATTCTAGGTTAATGCTTACTAAGACAAAATGTTTTGTAAAAATAAATTGCTTTACATTATAAATAGTATAACCGGCTTTTGATATTTACCCTTTCTGTCAATGGTAAACTCATCTAAAATGAAAACAGTGGTTCGATAAAATATATATAGATATATCTAGACTACTTTAATCTTTTTGGTCAAACAAAATGCTTTATGGTGTATGCATAATATTTAGTACTTTGATGATAACCTAGTCATAGATACCTTTAAAAATGGTTCCGTTGATGGAGACTCCTAATCATTCTGTTTATAATGCCGTTGTTATGTACAGATCACCATTATGTGCTCTATATTTTCGTTTTTCGATGGGGCATTTATGTGTTGGTGAATGTATCATATTTAGCACTATGTGTCATGTGTAGATAGAGCCCCTTTCCAAGAAAGAGCAAAATCCTTAAATGATATCAACATATCATTTAGGAGCATCCAACCTCGTTAACCATATTATTAATATATAGAAATTAATATGTTTTTTCGTATTGTAATATTTACATTATTCTGCCTCTCCCAAGCGAGATGTCATGTGTAACCACTCTTCGTTTAATATTGTTCCCTGAAACTCTTTGGTTTGGTAATTTTATATGACACAGTGAATCAGCTTAAAGTGTATGAGCTACTTTCCCATTGACCAAAAAATTATTTCCCGTGAATACACATGCCATCTCGACTTCTTGTCACGTATTGCCATGTTTCTATTTTTTGTATGTATATATATTGATGCTTTGTCAATGGCTCTTTTTAGGGCTTTAGTGCAAATAAAAGTTCTTCTTCTTCTTCTTCCTAATGATTCAATTTAGTCTCCTTTGTTTACATTTACCTTTACTTTAAGATGTGTCAATAACAAATTAAAAAATGGTACATGTACCAATATAAAGAAATAAGAAGATAATTATTATCAATGAAATTCCCAACCCCCAGAATTTAGGAATAAAACATAAAATAAAAAGATACTAACATTTGCCTTACAATATTGCTTAGACAAATAAAATACAGCTGGTTTGGATTTTGAGCAGGTAACTGGAGGTTGTTTGGTAAATTGGCTAATATGTCTCGACAACGTACCATCAAAATGTTTACAATGTGGAAATATGCTTGCAAAATACACATTATTAAGTTTAGTGTCTCTGAAGTGTTATGCATTTGAATTGAAGTTCATTTGTATCGTTGACTAGAGAGTCTCGTTTTCCGAAACAATTCCCAAATGCAAGATATTGGGATGTCTAAGAAAGGCAATTAAATATACAAAAAGGAAACAGCTCTAAAAACTAACAATTAAAACTTTGCTTCTGGAAAACAAAGTCCTCAAATAATATGATATAATATCAGTCATTGAATAGAGAAAATAAGAATCCCTAAAGAAAGCCCAAAACGGCAATATCGAACTCTTTGTTCATGGCGATATGCAATAACAAAAGTTTAGCATGAGTGAAGTTATTATACATTTATGGTAATGTTTACTCAACTAAATGAAATTATGCGTGTGACTAAGTGAAAATAAATACCTTTAAGCTTTCTGTTCTAACGAAAAGAGTCGCAGAGAGCATAATTCATATCATCAAAAATGTTCAGAAGTTTAGATGTATTTTCAGATTTTGAGTTTGATTCAGACATCCTTGTTGTATATAAGATAAAAATGAGTCATCTTGTTAAGTCATCTAAGCAACCAAGGGGTGTCTCATAGCCGGGATTACTAGCCGGCCACTTACGGTGTAAATTGGTAACAACTATTTTGTTAACAAGAAAGTCGATCGTGTGGACAAGACTAACCGACGAAATTTATGACTAAATATTTAATTTGTTAAAACGCTATAATGAACTAACACCGAATAAAGAATCTGAAATCTCGAAAACATGTCGAACCACTTCTAATCGAAATTTTTTAAATGAAATTTTACATTGTCCAGAGAATTTGAATGTTTACAATAGTTTTCTTTCATTTATTTATTAAATTTATGAAATATTATCCCATGTTGATCATGTCCGAAAAAAAACCCCGAATATTTTTAGATTTTAAAGCCGGTCAGAAAAGGTTTGAAAACCAAGTCG